CCCCGCTGTTTTAACAACTCCAGGACGATTCCCACCCAGGAGTCTCAGTGAGTAGAAAGTTCCCTTCTCCCACCCCTTCAGAAAAGCCTCTTTTATTATAACTTTGGTTCTAAGCTTGTTTAAAAGGCTTGGGAAACTGCTGATAAAGACACCTCCTTGGTACATCTGTGGGCTGTCTCCTGGAAATCAAATAAACCGTGACTTTTCAAAGACAACTCCAGGTATCTGGTCACTGCTGAAGCGCTAATTTAACACAATCCCCACCCTTCCTTGTCGCCTAGCAACAGCAACTGCTTGCTCTTTAAAAGTGCAAACTCTTTCTTCCCCACCCTGTGTTGCCTATCAATCAATACTTGGCCCTTTTTTCCCTTGTAAAATAAGTTTCCTCGCTATATCTCTTCTCTTAGTTGTGAATACTTTCACAAACCGCGTCACCGGCCCAAAATCTAACAAAGAGAACTCCTCCTCTGAGCTTCCTCTCTAGACTGGCCAGGCCGGGCCGCTTCCAGGTGCTCCTTTTTTCACATTTTGTCATTTTTCATTAGCCGCTTGAGGCCTTCTCCATGGTTTCCTTAGAAGGGTGGCAGGGAAGTTCCCTACCTGGGAGTGTAGGGCTGGGGTCCTGAAGGCTAGCAGGACCCCAGCCCTAGCCCTAGCCACTAACTACCCCTCCCTCCAGTGGGATAAAACCACGTGGTCCCTGCCAGCTCCCAAAGCCTGGAATCGGTCTTCCTGAGCCCTGGTCCACAGGCCCACAGCAGCCAGCCCGCCTTTTGGCAAAGCACCCCCCCACCGACAGGCCAGGGAATCTATCAGGGCTGGGATGGGCTCTGAACCGCGCTGGCCTGGACCACACTGCCTGCCTGCTGGACCTCCACTGATTTCTCCTCTCCTCCACTTACGGTCAGGGCTCCAGAACCTTCCCTCTGCCCCCACGGTTCTGGAAGTCTGGCTCATCTGGAGGAAGCCCACCCCGTCTCTCCCCAACCCAGGTCAAATCAGATTTTTTAAAAAGGGAAATCGGAAATGTAGACTGCATTTTTATCTGAAATCGCCTGCTTTTTAAAAATCCTGGAACTACTTTAGGTTTTAAAAAAAAACACTGGGTGAAATGAGCCTGTGAGTCTTGGGAGTGATGAGCTTGGCCTCTGTGGCTGCAAGCTCACCCGTCTCCTCAGCTTTGCTGAGTCTTCCGCTCTGATGATAAATCCGCTTTCTGAGCGGTTACACTTTGATGGACCAGCCTTTCCTTCTTGAAACTCCCTCCTTCTCGGCCTCCGTGGCACCAGCTCTGCCTGGTTTCTTCCTTCCTCTTTGACCATTCTTCCCGATTCCCATGGGGCACTTTCCGTTTTCTACCATCCCCAGCCCTCCTTTTCCTCCCCAGCATGCTGCTGCCACCAGCTCCAGATTCACATTTCCAGCGACCTTCTCTCCAGTGATGGTGGCACAAATGGAAATCTGGGAGGTGCCCTTGCTGCCCACACTGGGGTTCCATCAGGGGTGTTACCCTCTGCTTTCCCTTTGACTTTTCAGAGACCAAAGCTCAAGCCCCTCTCAGCCAGTCACCTGGCCACCTCCTCTCCACCTGGTTTCCTCTGGCCCACTCTCTTCTGGGTGTCCCTGTTCCAACCCATCTCCAGGCTCTCTGGCCAACCCAGAGAGGGCCACCAGGCGCCCTCTGCTCATTCTCCGAAGGCTCCCGCTGCTGGGCAGACACGTGCCTATGGGTTGGTTGTGGCATCTGCGTTTTGCCACCTCTCTCTCATCTCTATGAATCCTGGCCCAAATTCCAGCCAGCACACTCCAGCATTTCAGAACTCGAGGTCTTTGTTCAAGCCGTGGAGTCTTTGCAAGACCCTTCTCACTCCCCAGTGCAGCTTCCAGGGCTCAGCTCTGTGTCACTTTCAGAAATCTACGCGGATAGTTCCATTCCGGGGGCCCTCCTTTCTGGGAGAAGGGGTTGGCCTTCTTTGCAGGGACCTGGACTACAATCTATCCTCTCTCCTATAGCATGTACTCACTGCCCCAGGGGGCAGAGTCGGATCCTGAACCACCACCACCTCCACCAAAAAACACCGGTTCACCTTTTCCGCTTCAATGTCTTCCTTTCCTGGGGCTTATTCACTAGCTTTCTGAGGGCAAATGGGGTCTGTGTAAGCGCTGTGAAAGAGGTGAGAACCTACAAGAGAGGAGGGGACCATCGTGCCCGCTCAGAGGCGCCTGCTGGGGCAGAAGGACCCGAAACGTGCCATGCCCCCACCATTTAGAGACCTCTGGCCTCCAGCTCTCTGCACCCTGGAGCCCTAGTTCTCTAGCCCGCCATCCACTCGCTCTTCCTCCGTGCTTGGGCCCCAGGGGGCTTGTTCTTGTTTGCACCTCTGCAGTGGCCCCTCGGTCCCGGGCCTAAAATCCCTAAGTCCAAAGCGGATCAGGTCTCCTCCCTAGTGTGTCCCCACAGCGTGCTTCCTCAAAGTGGAGGCTTCTTTGGCTCAAGACTGTCCCGCGCGCCTCCTAAGCACCCCCAATACTGGGCCCAGCAAAGCTCATGGCCATCAGCCTTGGCAGGGGTCTTCGCCTGGTACACAAGAGGTCTCTCCAGGACCCTCTCAATTTCCCTTCCCAGAAAGGGGGCAGGGGTGTGGTCGGGAACTAAAAGCAACTACCCTGCGGCTTTACACCTCCTCCACTCAGTCCCACCCAGGAGCCCCCATTTTGCTTGCGGGGGGGGGCAGTGGTAGCCACCCACAAAATGGGTACTTGGAGCATCAACAGTGTGTGTGTGAAGGGGGAGGTGGGGGTGGGAGGGGCACTGCCGTCCTCCCGGCTTCCTCCGGGTTTGTACCGGGCCCCGCAGGCATAACGAGACCGCGGGTTAGCGGCTGCAGGCGGGCTGAAGCCCCTCAAAGACGTCCCAGCTCACTGCCCGCGCCGACCACGTGAGGGCGTGCCCTGTGTTAGTTCGGACAAATTAAAGCTGGTCCTGCGAGCAGGCCGGGGGTTCCCTGGACGCGGTCAGGGCTTGGGTGCACGTGGCGCGCTCTTGGCTGCCACCCGCAAAGCTCAGGGCCGCGGGGCCTCCCCCAGGACCTGCGCTATTCGTCCCCAAACCGGGTGCCCCCCTGCACTCGCGCTCTGCAGCCTAGGGTGCGCCCCTCCGTTCCCCAATGCCGGGGCCTTCCC